CCAGGGCCTGCAGGCTCAGGCTGCAGCTGGCTCGTCCGAGCTTCCTTTTTATTATCGGAATACATTTAATATGGCCATGGGTGCACACGTCTAGCTCGGCCCAGAAGAGCTGCCGGTGGTCAGTTCGGTTCCACAGGCAGCAGGTAGCTTCACCCTGGGCAGGAGCAGGAGAGAAAATGGTAATCAAGGACCAAACTCAGCTCCCCCCCACCCCCCTCCAACGCTAGTGATCTCCACGGTAGGCCCCGAAGGGAAGGAACAGAACAAATCCCGATGACTATTATTTATATCAATGCCATTATTTTTCCCGTTATTATTAAATAACAACAAAGCGAAGGGAAATGCTTTTCTCACTTTTGACAGAGCACAGACACGTGGCTACTTACGCCTTTTACATTGTGCTGTGGATTAATCAAGAGGGGACATGCGGCTGGGAGGGATGTACTCCACCGTCAGTTGAGCACGAAACAGGCAAACCCAGATGCCACAGACGTGCAACTTCGAAGCCCCAGATCCTGCCGCGCATGCACCTGAGCAAACCGCTGCACCTGTGCTGACCGGCATCGGCTCCAGCGGAGTGCTGGCTGTACGCAGGCGTACGTGTGAGCAGGCCACCAGGTAGGGCCGGGGCATCACTCCTGTAAAAATGTATGCCAATCACACAGAAGTGACAGAAAAGTGCCATCCGATGACACGGGTTTCTGCAGAAATATCTGGAAATGCGGATTGTGCGGAGTTTTAAAACAACTAATAATCAGCAAGCAATTTTTAAAATTTTAGCACTTGCTGTCCCTCGATGAATTCCTCACAGGCTCTGGCTAGCACCTTATAACTCTTGATAACAGTGACTGACTAAAACCAGAAAAATCTCCAAGTGTGCATGCAAAGAGATTAAAATCATATATAGAGAAATGGAAACCCAGAAATATATACTATTCTCTCCCCCTCGTGACCTCTGTTTGCAGGAGGTGCTAGATTGATAGCCCAAGAAAATACAGTCCTCTCGTTCACTATGGACAGAATAAATCAAAGGCAGGGAAAACTCGAGTATTTTATTTTCTGACCGTACCTTAGCTTACTCATCTCTCTTAAAGGGTGACAAAATACTTCTACAGGCCTAATGGGTGGCTGCCTTGCAACTCATGAAGCCATTTGTAACAGTGCAAAGTGGACACAGAACACGATTGTTCTACTTAGTAGCACTGTATATCCATTCCCTATAGCTGTAAACGACTACATTACATGCCAGGTGTCCCTATCGTGACCTCTTTTCCGAAATGGCCAGTAAAGGCATCAAGTGTAATAGAGAGTCCTGTTAACAACAAAATGAAGCATCCTTTAAAATGAACTTCATGTATACTATCAAGCATCTACATCACTTACATTGCTCAGGAATTACCTACTTTGGCAGGATTTTAGCAATGAAGAGGTACGACAGGCTCCATGGTGTACCGTTCTTAATGTGGGTAAAAGAATCCTTAAGAAACAAGGCACTAATACTGCCAAGCAAGGTAGTATACCATGTAGGTTTTAACTGTCTGGCTTAGGCCTCTTACTGTTACCGGCAACTGTTTACACATGCTGAAAAGATGCTGCTTCCCTACAACTGCAAAGCGCTTCACAATCTAGAAACAGTAAGAGGAAGCTCTGCCTAAAAATTAGGCCAGCCTTTTCATACGTGACTAATGAAATCTGTGTGCCTTCACTTGCCAGTGTCCCAACCCGCGACACCTGACATGCATCTGACTTCCAGTGGATGGATGGGCAGCTCTGCTTTCTTAGCAATGAAGGTGAAAAGATGAGGTAGAACACATTAATTACAGAGTACGTTTATCCTCTTATATTGTCCAGGCACTGACTGACCCACCCCTACTTACAACAAGCAAGGTGGTGGGGCATTTAGAATACTTTTCGCACATCTTAACAAAAAATGTGCGGGCTAATTTGAAATGACTTCTCAGAAACATGGATACATCTTAATTTTCTAAAATCAGCTTGTGCCTTATCCCACCGCTTTATTCAGACCGAAGAAATATTCTTTCAGAGTCATTTAACGTAATTCTGCCATGAAGAAAAAATGGGAGGGGGGTGGTGGGGAGGGGCTGGAAGAAGAGTAAGCAAGCAGTGGGAAGATGCTGAAATCCATCATACAACAGTGGAAAAAAGATCAGGACAAAGAACATATGGAATAAACTCTGCAATGTCCTTGAAGTGTTGGATATGTAAGGCCATTGTGAAGCACAAACATTGCTCTTTTATTGGAAAAAGTGAGTGCGCTTGTTTCCATTGTTGGTGTAACAATTATTATTTCCAACATTTTTTTTTTTTAATATGCCGGTTGCCGACTGGAAGTCAGAGTCCGACCTGGAGAGCGTGCCCCACAAAAATTAGTGCCTCCTAACTGTATGAATAAATTCCACGTGTTTTCTCCTTGCAAAACATAAAAGGTCTCACGTTGCGTATATCCAAACCCCTGCGAACGTTAAGACGTGGGGGTCAGCACCCACGGTACACTTTCACGTCCGTACTTGACTCCCGCGGGGCAAAGGAGCTCTTCCCAAAAAGTTGGGCCCCGTTTCCGCAGGGCTTTTCCGACACCCGTCAGCACAATCTCCGCGCCGCCACCCCAAAAAAGCTGCTGGCCTCACGCTGCCGCTTTGTCCGCACCAGCCGGGCGAGCCGCGCAAATCCTCGGACCAATTTCACACCCGCGCGGCCGGTACCGTGGGCAGGGCGGCGGGCACCCACCCGGGCAGGGCACGGAGCGTGGGGCGACCGCCCGCCCCGCGCCTCTTCCCCGCTTGTGCCAAGCCGGCGCCCGCCGCCTCGATGGCGAGCCCAGGCGAGGGCTGCCGTGCCGCCGGGGCTGGGCCGGCGAGGGCCTCTCCGCCCCGTTCGGGCGAGGGTTCCTGAGGCAGCGGGGCACCATCCGCCGCCCCAAAAACTCTCCCCCGGCCCAGGGGGGGGGGAGACCGCCGGCCTCGGCCCGCCTGCACGCCCCCCCCCCCCCAACCCCCCCCCCCCCGGGGCCGCCTTCCCGTGTTTACTCCCCGGAGCAGGGGCTGTGCGGATGCACTGCTACCGCCCTCAACTTCTCCGCTCGCCGTGCTCCGGCCTCTGAATGAAACCCGCCCAACTCCACAGAGTAAGTTACCGGGGGGGGCTCTGTGCGTGTGTGTGTTTGTGTTGGGGGGGGGGGGGCGGCCGTGCCTGCCGCCCGCACCCCGCCGCGGCCGTTACCCGGCGGCGCTGCCCGGGGCAGGCGTAGTTTACTCTCGCAGCCCTGCCCGGGCGGCCAGTGGACAGCGGCTGCCGGCGCTGTGGCCGGCGCGGCTCCGCGCTCCCCTCGGCGCCGGGGAGGAGCGGGTGCGGAGGGGGGGGGGTGCCGGCGGCCGGTGGCCCCCGCTACCTGCCCCGCTCGGCCGCCGCCGGCTCCCCCAGCCCCGCGACGATCTTTGTGTGTGAGTGTGTGCGGCGAGTGTGTGTGCGCCAGCGGCTCCCTCGCGGGCCGCGGGTGTAACGGCGCGGCTGAGTGGCTGGCGAGCCCGTCCGTCAGCGTGCCGGCCAATGGCGGGCCGCCTTATATCCCGGGGAAGTGTTGTGGCGCTGCCCGGGTTGCATGGCTCTGTGTGGAGCGGCGTTCCGCGGGCGCCGAGGCGGAGGGGCTCCGCTGCGCGCCGCGCCTCGCTCCGGCCCAGCGGCGCGCTGCCCGCCCGCCCGCCGGCCCCGCCGAGGTGAGTGCGCGCCGCCCGCCGCCCCTCACACGGGCGGCGGGGAGACGACGGGCAGCGGCGGGCAGGGAGCGGGGTGCCCTTGCCCCCCACGCTCGCCCCTCCGCCGCCCCGGCAGCCCCCCGGACACCCATCCTCCCCCCCCCCCTCCCCGTACCTCCGCGGCGCCGGCGGCCGGGAGGAAGGCGCGGAGCTTCCCCTGCCCTGCGCAGCGGGTGCCGCGGGTCTCAGTCACTTTTCCTCCCTCTCGTCAGCCCTGCCTTCGTTTGAAAGTTTGGGCAGGGGAGGACCCGGGTGGGTTGGTGCCGCCAGCCCTCTGCCCGGCCGGGAGGGCGGCGGTGACTGGGGGTGCTCTACCGGGGCGGGGTGGGGTGGCGGGGAGAGGTGAATTGCGATACAGCTCAGTGCATTTAAAAAAAAAAAAAAAAAAAAAAAAAGAAAGAAAGAAAGAAAACACAACACAACAACAAACCAGAAGAAGAAGGCGGCAGGGGTAGGCCAGCCAGTGCCAGGCTGCGTTTGAAACCAGGCACCTCTCGCCGCCACAGAGAGAGAGAGGCGAGAGCAGCGGCGGCGGCGGAGGGAGGAAGGGGAAGGAGGGCGAGGAGGAGGAGGAGGAGGAGGAGGGATAGCCATCGGCCGCCGCTCGGTGTGTGCCTCCGGGGGGGACTTGACAGGGAAATCGCGGCAGGCAGAAACGAAACTTCATCCCGAGGGGCGGCGAGGCGAGGCGCGGGGGAGAGTGCGCGGATCGGTATCGGCTGCCGCCGGCCTGGGGGGGCTCGGCGCCACCGCCGGGAGAAAGGACGGGGGGGTGAGGGGGGGCGGGTATGGGGGGGGGGTGGGGGATATAAAACCCGGGAGGGCGAGGGAGCCGAGCCGGCGGCCGCACGGGGCGGCGGGTTTGGGGAGGGGGGAGCGGGAGGAAAAAGCCCGGCGCCGACCCCGACAACAACAGCGGCCGGGCTCGGCCGGAGAGTTGGGCTGTGCGTTTTCCGGTAGTCATCGGCGATGCACCCGGGGCGGCGGCGGCCCCGGTGGGCAGCGGGGGGGGTGGGAGGAGAGAGCGGCCCTGCCGGAGTTTCGCGTGGATGTGGGATTATGTTGTGTCAATAAGTTTAAGGTGGAGAGGGAGAAAGGGAGGCGGGCGGGGGCCGGTGGAGGGAGTGTGGGGGGGGAGGCGGCGGCAGGCCTCGGCCGCGCGAAGTCCTATTTCTGAAGGTAAGTTGTGACATTGGGTGGTCGCGATGACAGAAAACTTGGCGAGGGGCACCCCGGGGAGGGGGCGGCCGCCTCGGGGGGGTTTTCCTCCGCCGCCGGGAGCCGGATGGGTGCTCGGCTGTTATTTGCTGCTGCGAGATCGGGTCGCTGGTAAATTACAGAAAGCAGCCCTCCTCCTCCTCCTTCCCCCCCTTCAACCCCCCCGCCAGCCGCTTCGCTCTTCCTCCTCTCGGGTTTATTTGCAATGTATGAAACTTGCATGGCTGTGAGGAGAGCCGATCCAGTGTAGGTTTGCGAGGAGGAGGAGGAGGAGGAGGAGGAGGACGGGGAAGGCAGGGTTGGAGGCAGGGGAAGGGAGGCAGTCGCGTTAATCCCGGGCGCCGCACGGCAGCAGGTTTGCGTTTAGCAATATCGGTGGCGGCCCGCCGCCGCTGAATGAGGAAGGTAAAACGAAGCGATGCGAGAGCCGCCGAGGCGACATGTACGGCGGCGGGGCGAGAGGCACCGGCAGGCAGCTGCCCGCCCCCTCCCTGCCTGCCTGCCTGCCTGCCTCTCTCCCTGCCTGCCTCCTCCCTCCCTCCCTCCCCGCCGGGGCGGGGAAGGACCGTGCCCGGGTCTCCCCCGCTCGTCCGCCGCCAGCCGAGCCGGGGGGCCGCGGGGCTTTAACCGTGCGCGGGGCGGATTCGCCACTTTTTTTCCGGGGGGAGGCCCGCGGTTAAAAGTTTTTTTCCGGAGGTGAGTGTGCCGCGGGGAGGCCGGGGCGCCGCCAGGCCGGCGGTGGTCACTCGGGCCTGGGGCGCCGAAACCATTGCCCGTCCTGCTGGTGACACGTCCGAGTCCCGCAGCCCGGTGGGGCGGCGGGGGGGGGGGGGGGGGGGGGGGCCGGCCCGGCCGCCGGGGCAGGGACGGGGTGCCGGGCTCCATGTGGCTCTCCCGGCGGCGGCACCTCCTCCCCGGTGGCGGCGGCGGCGGCGGCAGCAGCGGGATCATCGCCCGGGCCCGCGGGGAGGAGGAGGGGAGCAGCAGGGAGGTGTTTGCTGCCAGCCTGCCTCGCCAGATCCCGCCGGGGAGGGCAGCTGGGAGGGCCGGGGAGCCCCCCGCGCCCCCTCCCCGCGCCGCCGCCCCTTCCCTGCCCGCCCGCCCGCCCCCAAAGGTGTTGTGCAGACTTTTCCCCCGGGAGGGTGAGATTTATGCGCTGCATTATTGCTCCTCTCCTCCCCCCTCAAAGCAAGATGGACTCTCTCTCTCTCTTCTCTCTCTCTCTCACTCACTCACTCACACTCTCTCTTTCTCTCCCCCTCTCCCTGTGTCTTGTCAGCCTCCAAGATCGACATTTTGTAACTAAGATGCAAACTTGATGGTGACCGGGGGCGGGGGGGGGCGGCGGGGGAGTGGGAGAGGGGCGCGGCGTTGGGGGGAGAGGGGAAAACCCTGGGTCACGGCGGTCTTTCTCCATATTTAATACCTTTTCTTTCCACCCCACCCCGGAGCCCGGATTCCGGTGGCCCTACACTTTGCACGGACGGGGGTGGGCGGCGGGCGGCGGCCGCAAACGCCGCCCCCCAGCTCCCCGCGGCGGCCGGGGGTCTCGCCGCTCTCCCCGCGGGCTCCGGGCGGCTCGGCTGGGCTCTGCCGGGGGGCAGCGGGCATTACTTGAAACTGTGTTACAGCCTTGCAGCCGTCCGGCCGTCCCTCTGTCTGTCTGCCTGCCTGCCTGCCTGCCTGTCTGTCTGTCTCGCCGGGTGGATCTCGTACCTGCAGTCTGGCGGCTTATTCTTGTTAATTTTGCGTTGTTTGGCTTATCCACGCGCGGGGATTGATCGCTCACTCGTGTAAGTTCCCGGTGGTTATTGTTAGGTATGCCTCCTTGCAGATGGTGGTCAACTTTCTGCCTTTTATTTTGATAATGCGTGCGTGTTTCTCTGTGCGTGCATGTAAATAATTACGTGATGCATCCCTGTGTGGACGCATATGTGTCTGTGTGCGCACATAAACATGCATCCCTGTGTACAAGAGGCACAGAGGAAGAATAACCCACCCTGCTGGTGCACACTCAGATGATTTGCTCCATTTGCCTAGTCCTAATGCCCTTTAAAGACACGGTGCATCTTTTGTTTGCTCCTTATGGTCTCCTGCAACTGTCACCTTGGTTTAATGACAACTTACCTGGGCTGGGGGTGAGGAGGAAGCAAGTTTCAAGTTTTGGGATCTCTCCTCTTGTTGGCGTTGTGGTGAGTTGCAATATTGTAAAATCATGGTGTGCTCATGATGTGCCTTTATTTGATACTTTATAGGTCACTATCACATGACAAAGGCTTTGAGACAGCTTCATCTTCGTCTGTCTGTAATTTCCATTTGCCTTCCTGGGTAAGTATGTAAACTGTACACATGGAAAAAGAACTCTGTTTTTGTTGATAAGATAGAGGTCCTTGTGCTGCCACGTTTTGCATGGGAGATGCTTGTTCAGGTTTTAGCGCCTCAGAAAACATGTCTTCTCTGGGTGCTCATAGCAACTGCTAGATTACAAACTTCGTATGTAGGGGTGGGTCTGGATAACCTGAGAAGTAAAAGGCTGTGCATATTCAGATCTGTCTTCACTTCTTTTTTTTTTCTTGTTTTTTCTTAAAGCTTGTTTTGTAAAGATAATCAGCTGATTGACTTTGGGCAAAAGTTTTTAACCAAAGTAACATTAGAATATGCAAAGTCTTAACAGAGGTCGAAAACTTAATGTGAATGTAAAGTCCTTTTAAAATTCAGTGGTAGGCAAAATATGAAAATATAAGCAGAATAGGTGATTAGAAATCTTTGGAGGTTAGGAATCAATGAGAAGTTTAGCAGAACTGTAATACTACTGCAACAGGAGTTGGTTCAGTTTTAACATGTAAACCGAGGGCTAATTAGAATTCCATCCATGCTCTTTCTGTGTTACTGTTTTTTCTTCTGGCATTGATTAATGCAGGTACCTATCAATTTGAAAGATGAATTTCAGTGACTAATGTACTAGTATTCCTAAGCTTTCAGGTACACAACCTTTTTTTTTTTTTTTTAATCTGTATGCTGGGTAAAGTTTTGACACCTTTTGAAGGGTTTGACATCTTTTAAGCTGAAGTAGAAGTGGTACTTTAAAGAAGATGTTTTACGTTTCTGGGGTCACATAGATGACACAAAACGAGTGGCACTTGGAGCGCTTCTCGTGCAGTCGCCCATGGTGGCACTGAACTGCATTTGGCCCAAAATGGGGAAGTGGGAGGTAATTTATTTTTTTTATTGTACTATTGTGTACATAATTAAAACAAGACAAGACATGCATTTGGGGTAAGCTTAGTACTCATACATGCGAATGATTAATAACATACTCTTGACCTTTTCCAGGCAGTGTATAGCAGGCATAGGATAAGTGATGGTCCCAAACACGCTGACTCGAAGGGGGCTGTTGGGAGCAGCTGTTCTGGTGTGATATTATGATCACAAAACTAGTTTTAAAGCTGGGAGAGCCACTGTGGGGAGACAGTTCAAAGGGAGGATTCTGCCTGTTCTCCAGTTCCTGTAGGATGACACCCAAACTTCAGTTTTTCAGATTTTGTGGGCAGTGAGGATGGTGTGGGTAGGTCTGAGAGTATAAACACCAAATCAAATGACTGAAATTCTTTGACAGACTAGTTGCATGGGAGAATATTGCTGTCAGCTTTGTAGCATTACTGACAAGGATCATGTTCTCTGTAGAGTAATCGGTGCAACAATTTTTACAAAGTAAAAATTCATTGGGAAGTTCAAAAACTGGCAGATAGGCTTCAAGCTGTTGTTCTGAGCTGAATACAAATGCACTGATTTCTGAACTTAATTTTCTGTGTTTTCAGGTAAGAGTCAGATTAGAGTGCTGTAAGTGTCAAGGACTTCTTTATTGGAGTAACAATTAAGGGTACTGAACAGGAATAGCTCGGGGGACCTCACTTCACGTAGTATCTGGTTTTAATTTTATGTGATGATGTCTTTTGGATGCATGGAATTTTGATCCTGAAAGTGGTGATCATAATCCGTCCACAACTTCAAGAGGAGCGGACCTCAATTTTGTGCATAGTGCTAAGTGTAGGTCTTGCCTGATGTTGAGCTGTCGTGAACAAATTGCAAAGAAACAAAGGGTAGGATATGTTCTTGAAGAAAAAGGCATAATAGAAGCTTTAGAGGAAGCAGAGAAATATATTGCCTCTTAGCTTAAAAAAATGTAATCAAAATAATGTGCCTAGTTAAGGGGAAAATACAGATTTCATTAGATTTGGCCATGACTAGAAACTTCCATTTACTTTAGAGAGCTTTTATTTTGGTAAAAGTGAAGGTTTCTTTTATTATACAGTTCTCAGTAAAGTAACAGTTCATGAATGGAGTTTAGTAATTTGGTCTTGACGTACAAGAGAGACACCTGGGTTCTGGTCTTGATGAACAAGTGCTGGGTGCAGTGCTGGCGTGTCACAAGCTAAAAGGGGGTGAGCTGCTCAGCAGGGGGCCTTGTGAATGTTTCAGAAATTGGCCTGTGGTCTCAAAATTTTGTTGCATACTACTGTCCCTCTTGTCACAGCAAGCTGATAAACCGTTTCAAGCAGATGCACAATTTAGCAGAAACATAACTGGTTTCTGTGTTGAGGTAAACTCAAAATATTTAAGAAGCTTGCCCTTGATGCTTTTGAGTTTCTGGGAGGCCACTTGCCGTAAACCTGTTGCCTGCAAAACTTCCATTGGTTTCAGCAGGAGGTTTATTTAGGAAAAGAGTGTCTCGGTGCTGGTGAGAAGAATTTCTCCATGTTTATTTTCCTGTTCAAGGAGGAAAACCTTTATCTTTAATTATTCACACAACAGCTATGAAAGAGGTTAAATGTCTGTTTTTCCACATAAAATGTCAGAGGTAATAGCGCAGTTATTTCATAGCTAACATTTTTCCTTTTCATCCAGGATGATCTTAATATACTTTTTCATGAATTAGTAGCTGCATAGCTTGCCATCCTGTAAGCACATGAATATCTTTAAGCAGATGACAAGTCTTGCTAAATTCACTGATACAACTGCTTACATTCGGAGCTTAAAGTTATTCCAGGTTTATGTGGCTCGTGATCTGCGGGCCAAGGATGGGCGATGTCTCTGAGGCTCAGTCAGCATGGCCTAGGCAGGGCAGTCTTCTGGTGTAGAGCTGGTGGCAGAGTGGTATGAAGGAACAAAGTTTTGAGCAAGTGAGCTGGGGAGAGTTACTCTTCCACTGTGCGTAGTGGTGGGGAAGGTGCAGGTGAGGTAGACGAGACCTGCGGTGTGCAAGGCTTTGCTGTCATATGGGAGCTGTAAGCACACCTGCCGTGAAATTTGGGCACCTGGGAGGTGAAACACTGCCTCTCATGGTACGTGTCACGTGCAGTGTTCAGGCCTCTTGGTTATTTGAAGGTGGCTCCTTGGTGGAGGAAGGTACTGTAAATTACAGTTGGAACTGAAATGAAACTCTGATTTTAATTTTGGAGTGTGCCACAGGCTGCCTCTGTGAGCTCTGGCAAGTGATGTAGTCAAAACCAGAGGCCACTTTACAAATTTTGGACCAGAATTGGACTTGCCTGTACCCTGCCCCAGGGGTGGCCCACCGCAGCCGCCGGTGGAGTCGGCGGCACTGCTGTGACCTGCTGGTGGTTTCCAGGGTCAGAGTTTATTCCTGGAAGCACAGCCATATGTCCCTTTGCCACCTGCAAATGGAGACTAACGATACTTCCCTGTATCGTTAAATCATGTGGTGCCCATATATCGGAACAGTTTTCATGAGTGAATTAAGTGGGCTCTTTTTTTAAAGCAGTATAGATAGTGTTTGACCTTAATTTATGTTTTCTTTATTACTGAGGAGTCTGTAAAGCTGGAATGAAATGATAGTCCTGTGTATTTCAAAATATTATTGAGAAGAAACAGGAAAAAGTAAACTTTCTGACTTCTGTAGTATTAACTTAATTTTATCTTCTACCATGTTTTCCCCCTTTCCGGGGGTATGATAGTCAAAAACTTTTTCATTCTGTTTTATGTCATACAATTATTAGGACTTACTTCCTTCTTGTTTTATTTTTTTTTTTTTTTTTTTTAAGATCGGTAATGGTACAGTGTTTCTGTCTGAGAGCAATGTGGTGAGCCTGGTACTAGTGGACCTGTGAATTTCACAAAAGACTCCTACAGCTGTCACCCTTCTTGACAGTTTCAGAATGGGTAAGACCTGAACCAGCATAAGGATTGCTCTAACTTTAAGAATGGCTTGATGGGCTGCTGTTAGATTGCATTGCTTGAAAAAGGAAAAAAAAAAATCACTCTCTCTCAATAATAATGATATTATTAATAGCCAGTTGTAAGCATTGCCTTATTTGTGTGCTTATGTCCTGTCTGATGAAGTACATAAGCCATACTGTAATCACACTATCTCAAAACAAGGAACAATCATTTTTATCCCTGTTCTAGGCATCTGAGACACAAAGCAGTGAAGGAGTGTAGGCTTGCCTGCAGTCACTTTGCAGGTTAGCATTGGCAGGGAATGGAGTAAAATCTGCCTATGACTCCTTACTTTTGTGTCCCTTCCCTGGGTGTACGCTGCTGCTCTGAAGTTTCCCTGGTAGATGCCTGTCCTGACATATGAGTAGTCTCACTGAATTCTGTGCCAGGTGGGCATCTTTTGCTAATACTCAACTTTCATTCATAATTCTGCTTAAAAAAAAAAGAAAACCCAAACCAAACAGCCAACAAAACACAACCCAAAACCCACCTTCAGAATAGTGAATAGTGTGAAGTTACTGACTTTCAATTCAGTTATATTTATTGACAGGAGAGTCTAAACTAGGAGGAGAGCTTACTTAAATACCATGTTTAGTAGCAAAAACTCTTAAGCTGCTGTGTATATTGTGCTATTTATTATGTTGCACTATTATAATATTCACTTCTTTGTATTAACCTTATGAAGTAAGATACTGGTTTTCATAGCAAAGTTATTAAAATGTGCATTGGTCTGAAATAGTTCTTTGCAATTAAATTATTTTTCATGTTCATAATCTAAGGCAAAGTCACAACTAACTTTCTTACAATACATGGAATTGACAGAAGCAGTTACTTTGACACTGGCAGTATTGTGATAAATAAGGTAACTTACTAATTTGAACTTTTATTTCTAAGCCTGTTAAATACGTTTCATCCTGTATGATTTTCAGATTTGCTGATTACTAGTGTTTTGTTACTGAGAATATGGATTTGCTTTGATTTTAAAATAGGCATTGTATTTGAGGAGGAAAGCATACTTTAGTGCCTGAGCATAGACCTAATTGTAGTATTCTCACAGTGATAGCAGCATTTTATTATTTTTAATATTTATA